CATTGTACATATTGTCTTTTTATATTGTCTTTGTTTTATCTTTATTCATATTTTACACCGACTTTATTGTTATGCACCAATTTAACAAGGCAAATTTATTAGATGCAAAAATCTACTTGTCAATAAACCTGATTCTGATAAAATGCATTTTAGGGTGCCCTTCCAGGGGAGAAAATGTGATGAAGTGTCCTCCTGGGTGCCCTTTCAGTGGACATAACATGCTGAAGTTTCCCCTGGGGTGCCTTTTCAGAGGAGAAAACGTGATGAAGTGACCTCTGTGGTGCTAATCCTAATCCTGACTAAACTGTTTCACCACAACTTTATACGCACTGGTGCCCTTTTTTATTTTTAGCACCCCTGCCCCCCAACAGCCTAAGTCTACCACTGCTGGTGCACCAGCGTTTGCAGTCTGTTTTGGAAAACTAGTGTGGAGATTTTCCAGACTGACAACTTATGGGGGAAATCTTGTACTCTGACTCACCTGTGGCACATCACAATTACCCACAAGCCCCAGAATTGTAAGTGTGAGTGAGAGGTACATACACTCCTCCACATGGGATGAAACCAGCGAGAAAGAAACCGGGACTGACAGATAAACTAACACAAAGTTGATGTTTTCTCAGGGAGAAAAACAAGACTGCACTGCATTCTTTGGCTTGTTGGTGGGTCGCACACCTCCTCAGTTACCATGGTAACAGCCGTCCCCGTGGAGCAGGTTTCTGGCTCAATCCCGGAGGCCACTGTTTGATTGAATGGTTGTCAAGATGCAAGACAAATGATGACGTGTAAGAGCAGTAATGACAGACACACTTCACACAGAGGCACAATAAAAGGTTTGTGTGAGTGTGTGTGTGTATAAGTTCGGGCGCGTGTATACAGCATGAATTAAAGAGGGGGTCACTGGGGGGTCTAGAAGGATTTTTGCTGGCCTGAGAAAAATGAGTACTCACACTCTAGCTCACTTCCCATCCTGGAAATACGTATATGTATATTTTATGGCATGAATTCTCTGGGAATTAATGCATGCATCAGTAAAATAGCCCATTGCTGTATGTAGGCTACATGTATTAGATATTTACTGCAGTGCCTATTTATATGTGCTGCAGACACAATAATACCTTTTAACAATGATGTGCAAAGGTTCACAAAATACGATTTTCCAAATTGAAAAAGGATTGCTGTCATTTCTGGTAACAGCCTGAATCATTCTCGAGTTTCTTGCCAGCTTCTTGCTTGCACACACTAATAAGCAATACCAATAAATGAACAACAAGATATCAGCAGATGAACATTTTGTGTAAGCTTAAGAGAGAGAGAGCGAAAGAGAGCTGCATTTAAAAGGAACATTATCAAAGTCTGTGCTATGACTTTCTTGCCCTAATGCAATGTGAAGTTCATTCCCAGTGATAATTAAACCCTTACCACATTTTCATCTTCTTACCTCTACTTTACATAATTATCCTCGGGCCACTTTCTACTGCATGGAATTTGAACAGCAGGATATTAAGACAAAGCTACTTTCAAAGGCTATAATGTATACATAGAAAATAGTTTATGGCTATTCTCACTGGCACTTATGACCAAACAATAATAATAATAGTAATAATAATTGCCTACGTTTTATTTATAGAGCACTTTTCAGGGTACTCAAAGACACTTTACATAAGTGTAATGTGAATACAAGCAGTTCCCTTTAAAAAAACAAAAAAACAATCTGCTGTTATTAATTCATGATGACTCTGGCGAACACCCAGAAACACAGACATCAACAGTTACAAGTAAAACTGCTTATGGGGGGAAAAAACTGTTCAAATTAACAGATATCATCGCCTCTGTCTCAGATATACTATTTGTACTATCCGTAAGTGACTGGGAGAAGCAATAGCGCCAGCCAATTGCATAAGTGGCTCACAAATGCAGTGGTTAAGTTTATGATCCCCTAAACAGCCTGTTTCATTAGAGGTGAGTGTGGAGCACTGGAAGGTCACAGACGTGTTTCATAGACATACAGCAGTCATATACCACAGTAGTCTTAATGCATTGTGAGTGCAGGAACATTTCAGCTGTGAGACATTACAAATTACCTTGTTGTCTGCTGCCTTTAGTACTGAAGGAGCAGAGCTATTCAGTAATATATATATATATATATATATATATATACAGTATATAAATACAAAGATGTGATGTGTGCATGCTTTTGGTTTTATTCTAATTGGAACCTGCTTGAGTTTTACTCCTCTGCTCGAAGTGTGTTCAAGGTTTGCACTTTTGCAAGCAGTTCATTCAAGTTTAGTAGATGTGAAGATTTAGATGAGAATTGAATTAGCTACTCTACATTTTATGTTGCAGGCTGTAATGATAATGCTTACAGGGTCATTTCTGTACATACATACATACAGTGTGCAGTGTACATCTGTGTTGCTTGTTTTTCTTCTTGACATATTACCCCACATGTACGTTTAACCGCTTCCTTGCAATCCTGTCTGAATGTTGCTGTGACAAGTTTTTCAAGTGAAATCGGATCATTTCCCAGTAGCCTTGTTTTTTTGGGTGTCAGGTGACAAGCAGTAAGCACAACACATTCCCTTTTACAGAGACCTATTTAGCGCACATACATAACAAAAAATTCCCCTCAATTATACTTACAATTATCTTAGTCATCCTGAGGTGAGGATTGTGCACTTATACAAATCAGTGTTGACTGCTACGGTATACACCCATCATTCACTTGATCTCCACATCTTTACTGATTACTCCTCTTTATGACCATCACGCTCCTCCCTGCATTGATTAGTGCTTAGCGTTACCAATTAACATTAACTGCTAATGGAGATTAGCTGAATGTGAACATAGTTTGAAGAGTTGCATGATGAATTTGGCTGGAATTAGGTATGCCTCTTTGATGATATGAGGTGAACTGTAGTCAGTGGAAAACTCTCACAAAGATAAATGAACAAGAAAGTGTGTGTGTGTGTGTGTGTGTGTGTGTGTGTGTGTGTGTGTGTGTGTGTGTATCTGAGATGCCACCTATGAAACTGTGTGTAAATGGGGCTGATGGTCAACAGAAAGTCTGCAGTCAGCTCCTTCATCACAGGAGGATGGAGACACCGATGATTTCCATGGAGACGGGGAAAGAGAGAGAGAGACTGGGGGCCTGTGGGGACAGAGAGATAGAGGGAGGTGTGTGTATGTTGGAGGGATGATAAATGAGTGTACACCATGCTGTCATTTGTACTTTGGCATCCAGTCCAAAGCACAATTTAGTGTAAAATATTACGCTGGCCCCTTCAGATGACAAAGTTTAATGCTGATGTATGAACAGACAGAGACTATCCCCAGCTGCTATTGAACAGAGGGAGGTAACTATTCTTCTCAAAGGGCAATTAATTAGCGCACACACAACCACTGCAGAGGATGGACAGTGAAAAAGGGCAGTCATACTCTGGTCTTGTATCTGTAACAACAAAATGCAGACAAGCTGTTGTGAGTTTTTGGGCTCGGAAAACACAATTTGACACAATAGACAAGGCATCATATGTTTCATAATAAGGTTGTTGATTTAAATGGCCTTTTTCCCAGAAATACATGAAGGTTGTGTTGAAATCTTGTATTTATTTAATTATTTAAAACATGTTATTATTTATGATCTATTTATGGGTTGTATTGTACGTCTCATAATTCCCTAAAATGACTAGATTCTTTCTCTAAAATTGTCACACCATGGATGCCTTTTTTGCTCTCTTTCGTTCAAAGAGCTTGATGGACCAGTTTATCTAGATATTATCTGGGACAGTGCTTTGAGGGGTCATTGTCAGAGTTTTAGAGGGAGATCTTGACAAAACCAGTTTAGTTTAACCTCTAAAACAGAATGTGTCATGTTGAACCCAGACGTCAAAATGTTTTATGTGACAAATTATTCAACTTATATAACCACAACACCTAAACAGCTTCTAAAATAACCATTTTGCTGGCACAAAGTCAGAGTACAGGTGCAATGCACTAATTCCTATCAACCACTTGCACCTGAGTCATCCTTTTATAATTGCAGAGATAGCATGACAGCTGCCTTTAACTGCAAGAGGCAGCCAAATTTCTGTCTGGATTATAGCATCCGCTGCAGCTGTGCAGTTTCAGCTCTTACCCACTGGTCTGTAAAGGACACAAAGGCAACTGCTGTAAATGTTCATTATAATCATAGTTTTAATTAAGTAGTCCGAAGATCGATCGATCTATCTATCTATCTATCTATCTATCTATCTATCTATCTATCTATCTATCTATCTATCTATCTATCTATCTATCTATCTATCTATCTATCTATCTATCTATCAGTTTTTTTTGGAAGCTAGATGTTGTGGTTATATAAGATGGATAATTTGTCTCATATAAAACATTCATCAAGACACATTCTGTTTTAGACGTTAAACTACGATGGTTTTGCAAAGATTTTCCATTCAAATACTGTCATGGACCTCTCCTTGCATTGTCCCAGATCATTTCTAGATAGACTTGTCCATCTAGCTCTTTGTATGTAGGTATTTGGTCATAAACAATATACTCACAGATACTTTACAGTAGCCTTTGTGAAAATGTGGGCCTCCACAACTTGTTTTTGCCAGTTCGGGTATATGATCTGGTCGACCACCCACCACATTCACTCCGTCCTATTGAGCTTTTCAGCTCTTTTTACACTAAAGGACATGAAATGCTGCAATCAGTGAATTTTGCTACAAGATATGTCCTTGGACCTATTGTGCATCTATAGGTTCTGTACATCCTTTTGTATTTGGATTTCTTTGTGTGAAACAGGTATGCAAGGAAATAAGGTTGACTATGATTTAGAGGAATGGTGGAGCTGCACACCCTGTCTCTTGTATGTGAGTATTATTATTGTTTGTATAAGTTGTCATTTGAGGAACGAGGAAGTTTTTTTGGACTCATACTTCCAGTAAGCCTGACTGTGATTGATTGATTGATTCCCGTTGTTCCAGTACTGTATTTAAAGAGAGGGAAACATGAGAAAGGTGCAGTAAGCCACACAGAGGTTCACGCAACCATACCAACCTGCTGAGGGTTCCTGTGGGTGATTCTCTTTTGTTTTTGCAGAGAAAGGTAACAATAATGTGTCTGACTTATTATTCAAGAATTTCAGATTGTCTCTGATTCGCTTTTATAAATGAGGCGAAAAGCTAATGTAAATGAGATATTCTACATGTACAGCTTAATGAGTGTTCATTATATAGACAATTATATGAATTCATAAATACAAATAACTTCCCTACAGTTTTAAAGGTCCCTTATCATCTGCACTCATGATCAAATTGGTAATGTATTTTCCAGCTTATTATTTAACTTTTTTTTTTGTGGAAGTTCTGTGAATTCTGTATGTCATATTCTGCCATTTTAACCTTTTTAATTTTCTCTAATAGTTAAGTGTTGCCATTGTTGCAGGATTGTTTTTCGGTAGGTTCATCTCAATAACTGCAATGGTACATAAGTCCAATTGTGATTCTATGATCAGAAATAGACAGAGTTACAGTATACAACTTTTTTCTGATTACTTTTATTAGAAAGCGACCAGAAGATCATCCTACCCCAGTTACCCATTGCAAAAGGTAAGACAGTTCACTGTAGTCTGATAAAATTCACACTCAATGCACTCTCCATGAGTACAAGGGGGAAAAAGTGCTCCAGAGCAAGACTTATTCCTTGCAATCTTGTAACATACGTTTCTTGGATAGAAAAGTCTGACACCCATCTTTGTTTTTTTTTTTCACTATTCAGGATGGCCCTGCTACTATCCCACCCACATTCGTAAGCACATCAAACTTTTTCTTTTTACATTTACATCGCATCTGTCTTTGTATTTTTTTGCTAACTTAAGTCAATTGTAATACCTTGGTCCAGAATGCTGGACAGACTGGTTTGACAGAGATAATCCCTCTGGAACTGGAGACTGGGAGGTCCTCTTCAATCTTCGTAACGAGAACCCAGGAAAGATCTGTCCTAAACCAGTGGACATTGAAGCCCAGACTCTGAATGGGCTCACTGTGGCTGCAGCAGGGGATGTGATTTACAAGTAAGAACCGAATTAGTCATTTTATTTAGTCAATAATGTTGTTACTGTGTGCGTTTGTGTACATGGTGACCAAAACTATTTCTACTGTTTCTACTTTTCACATTCTATTCTATTACACAGCAAAGTCAACAAAACAGTGTTGTTTTATTAAAATGTTAGCTGGTGGTAGAATACACACATCTATGAAAACACGTTAATTGGACACAATTATCTTCTCTTTTGAGAGTTCCAGTCACAATATTATATGTATAACATTAAATATGAAATACATTTTTATATGATTCAAATTTGTATTACTGTGTTTTATACCAACACATAATAAAGCAAAACATTCAAATGCTAGTCTCTGTGACGCTGCCTTAAGCACATGAGCTAAATAATATTGTTAGCATGCGAACATGCTCACAATAGTAACATGCTGATATTAAGCAGATATAATGTTTATAACATTTGCTTATTACTAAAGACAAAGTACAGCTGAGGCTGATGGGAAGGTAAGGTTTTGGAGGTATGGCAACACATCCAGTTTTGGAGATATTTCAGTGGTGGACCGAGCATCCAACTGAAATATCGACAGGCTGACATTGCCATCCCTAGAGGCATGCCACTAGGATGGCTAAAAATATACTTAAGTGGATGCATCCACAAGAATATTTTCAGTAAGTGTCATTCTGTGTTTTTTTTTTTTTTTTAGAAGTGACACAACTGTGGGATTCATCTGCAGAAACAGCGACCAACCCAACAAGAAGAGCTGTAATGATTATCGTGTTCGTTTCAGCTGCCATCCCCCTTTCTGTGGTGGAGGAGGTACTGTATGAGCACATTGTACATGTGCAGTGTTAAGCTGCTGCAAAGTGGATTTCCCCTCCTCTTTCATTGTTCGTGTGCATAAGCATTCATTTAGAATGGCGCTTTGGTGCCACAGTTTCCCACCAGTCATCCCGTCTCTCTTTCATTGCTCATTGCAGTCTGCTGGACCAAGTGGTATGACAGGGACAATCCCAGTGGAACAGGGGACTGGGAGCTTTTGAGCAACCTGAGGACAGAAAACCCAGGAGAAATCTGTGACCATCCTCTCTACATTGAGGCTGCTACCACTGGCTCAATCCCAGCCATGAGCACAGGGGAGACCTTCTCTATGTAAGTTGCCACATAGGGAAAGAATGTAAAAGTTACATCTAGTAATATTAGCCCACCAATCAATCAATAATTTCTGTACTTTACTTTCATCATTAACACCCCTTTCACAAAGTTTCCAAATCATCAAGATGTACTGCCTGGAGCTACTGCTTAAACAGTGAACAGAAACTTTGCAGATGCACATTTACATTAGATAAAATGAAATTTTAATGAGCCCCATGAGGAAACTGGGTAATAGTCACATAATGTCTGAAGGTTTTAAAAGTTTTAAACCTAGCTGAGCCTAATTGTATTCTTGTGCTAACAGCTTTGACCGAGAAAACATAGTCTTTGTGTTCTGAAAAACCCAGTTAATAGGCTAGGTTTTTCTTATTTATGATTATTTTCATTTATTTTGATTGGATATCTTAGACATTATGAAATGACATCAATAACAAAACCCTATCATGTTTTGATCAGTTAACAAGGATTTTTTGGTTTTAGCATTTTTAAAAATAAATGTCTTGTTTGCTTTCAATGTGGTCTTCTTGTTTTAAATACTATACTGATTCAATTGCTTCTGATTCATTTTTCAGCTACAATCCGACTCAGGGATTTGTTTGCCGCAAAGCGGACCAGAAATCTGGCAAGTGCCTTGACTACAAAGTTCGCTTTGGATGCCCATGCAGTAATTAAGCCCTGATTCCACAACCAAACACGGGGGAAGAAGACGTTGAAATTCTTATTGCTTAAACATTTAATTTTTTTTTTTCTGTCTCTTTCTATTTTGTAGTTTTTGGTGAGAAGGCCTTTTTCACAGGAAAAACATTTACTTTTAGGAAATGCAAATGAGTAATTAGTAACATGATCAATGGCTCTGTTGTCCTCAAATGTCATAGTATGTGTGATACAGGACCCTGAATTTAACTTCATTATATATGCTTATGCTTTTCCTACAGTGCCAAAATGTCTTCTGTGGGAAAAGGCCTACTAGGTGCTTTATCCGTATGTCTTTTCCTTTAAGTGATTATGAAATCATTACCTTGTATGACTATTGTAAATCAACAGCAATAAAGAATACCATTAGACAGCAAATCCCTTTTGTCATTAACGTCCACTCATAACCATAGCTTAATAGGATTGTACTAATGAGCTCACAGACTTGTATGAAGTTATGATTTGGCATCAGTAATGCAGACTTATGTGTTTTCAACAGATGGTGGGAACTGATATGATATACAGACAGTAGGCGGTGCTGGATAGAGGTGCTGGTCAACAGCAGTGTGGGAATGTGGAAAAGCACGAGCCAGTGAATTTGAATTTCATATCAAAATACATGCATGCAATAACAAGCACAGCTAAAACGTGCAGTTGGTTTTAGTTTGTCTCTTGTCTTTCACAAGCTATAACTTCCTCTCTATTTATAGAAGTAATAGTTGGTGTTTTCAGTACAGGTTTTAGTGTCCTTACAACCTTACTCTCTTCTCTCTGACCTAAATCACACCTGCCAACCTTAACCTGCCAGGTTTCCCTCAAAGTCAAACTCTCCTGATGCGAGCCTACACCCACACCCACTCCTGCAAACCCTTGAATGTACACACAAACGCACAAAGGCACATACATAAACGCACACACAGTGAGGGGAACAGGGAGATACAAGGTGATTTCCTCTACATCAACACAGTCAACATTTCCTCAGGAGATAAACACTTGTGATAGGGGCTAAAAAGAAAATCTGCAGTGCATCGCACAGAATGTAAAATGAAGGGAGAAAACTTTCCCACTGTTTGCTGAGGGAATCTGTGTGTTCTTTTGGGTGCGTCCTAATGCTTGCATGCTTGCACTGCATCAATATTTCTGCCCGTATATATGTTTTTGTGTCATTCAGCTTCGAGTGTGCAGGTCTGTCCTCCAGTAAGACTGTGCTGAAGTAGGCAAACATATGAGAAGAGGAAGAGGGAGGGAGTCAACCGGATGCAATCTAGTAAACTTCCCCCTCTTCACTTTTTTATTATAAAACTGAAGAGGAGAAATTCTGCCGTCGGTGGTGAAGTAAAATGAAATCTGCACTACTGAAGTGCAACAGAAGTGTTGAAGCTTCGGAGCATTATGGTCTCCTATTCTCTTCCATTAATCTCCCAATATTCCATAGCTGTGGAGGCCTATTTTTAGACCAGGGGATGATTAAGTGGTGAAGCGCTGTGCCACAGAGGGAACCAAGCTCATTTTCTTTTTCCTGTCCTCTCTCTTCCTTACTCATACTCTTCTCCTACTTTCTCTTTCTTTCCCTCCCTTGGTGTCTTTATCTTCTCACTCTTTCTTCCCTCCTCTTATTCATAAGCATATACAGTATATCACACACCAAGCTTCTTTCACACAGTTTTGTTGTCAGAGAAATGATGTTAGACTCGAAGGGGTAAGGATAAGTCCTTCAATTCCTTTTTTTTTTTTTATTAAGCATGTGACAAAAGGGTTTATGGAAGTGTTAATTGTTATGAGGCTACACAAGGAAGAGTGACAGCCTTAACAAGAGAGGATAAAGCCCCATCTAGCATGTTTTCATCGCTAAGTCAAGCTGGATCAAGACTGAAGGGTGTCCATTAGTTGGAAATGCAGGAGGGAAATATGCGCAGAGAGATCCTACTTATACCTGCTATTGCAAGGTGTCCTTGAGCGGAAGTAGAGCACTGCACAGGAAAAATGGTTAAGCTCATTTTCATGTGTATAGATGTGATTAATGGGGGAGAGGAAAGGAGAAGAGGAGAGGAGAGGAGAGGAGAGGAGAGGGAGAGGAGAGGAGAGGAGAGGAGAGGAGAGGAGTGACCTCGTCGAGCTCAAGACCGGCCTCATTTCATCACCTCCAGAACAGCGAGGGCATAAATGAGATCAAACCCTTCTTTATGTTTCCACACTGACGCCCTATCTGCTGGTCCAAATCCAGATTTTTCCCTGGGTTTTACAGGGGCTTAGGTGGCAACATTTTCCTGCAGGGTGGATTTTGTACAGGGCTTACTGTAGATGCTGAGGACCTTTGTAACAAGTATTTGTCTATTAAAACAACTCTAAGGATTTGTGCAAGGAAGGGAAACCACTGAAAGTAATTTAGAAGACTTGAGGCTTGAATACATTAAAATGACCAATTTATCAGTCAGAAAAAGCAGAAAGGTGTCTGCATATAATTGTGAGTGGGATGTTTGGAATTTCATACCGAGAGTTTATGCAACCATTTATCTCTTATGCAATGAATTTGATTGTTTGCATGAGCAAAAGAAATTCCTGTCTTTATGTCCCAAAGTGGAAGCGTTTGAGATTGAAAGTTGCTAAACATATTGCGACTGAACACATCACATATGTCCTTAAATCTCTCACAGTTCTTTGCAGCCACAGAACAACCGTTGCTTGACAAATTCATCACACTATTTAGTATTTCTGTTTATCTGTCCAATATATTTTTGCACTACTGAAGTCTTGGCAACCCATGAAAACACTTGAGCTGTAGAAGGCACAGTCCATGTACCTTGAGTTATATTTAATAAATCCCTAACCAGGCAATTTCATAATTCCCAAATCCATGCGTCAAATGCTATTTATTCTAAAGACACAAATTTATCACATTTATGATGGTATAAATTTGATTCATGCTGAATTATGTGTAAATGAATAGCTCAGCCTCCATCACTACACTCTCTCGATAGTGAAACAGCAACTTTAAATCCCTCTTACCAAAGCAATATGAGCCTGAAAAGCTATTAGAGCATGACTCCTGAGAGATGAACAAGACAAAAGTGTTATGCCTGTACCTTTCCGGAAGGTGAGAACAATACTAGGCTATTTTCACTCTGACAAGCCATATTAGTCGTGCTAGCTTTTGCCTGCCGGCAACTCCTACGTGATAGCTGTCTGGGACATTTTGTTTCCAGTCACAGTAGCTGATCCCTTGATTGAAAACATTGAATGCTGAGAGGGTGTTATCCCTGTTTGGAGTTTCTGATCCTGGATGTCTAAGTCGACTGCTGGGCCCTCTCATCCCCTGCTGCAACAGTTGATCCCTGGATCTTTGTGGAAACAGAGTGGATTGCATTACTGAGATGGAAGCCTAAAAAGGTCAGGGATGTGTGCCTGCTATAACCCCATCCTGAGAAGAACACTTAAAATGTTCAGGTTACAGTACAACTGTACATAAAGCAGATTTCTAATGAGATAGTTGAGGCATTATTACCAGACCTTCCCTATCTTTGGGACTGTGAAGTGACAGTCTTTGCAGTAGTCTGACATGCTTGACAACTTGCCTTGTGATTTCTTGGATCACCTCCTATATGTCGACAGAGGTCTATTTTTATGTTGTTGATTTGTCATTGTGTTGGTGGCATCATTTTGTCAGTGGTCTGTAAAATGGTGAGAATTAGATCAAGCACTAATGATGTACTAATAGGCACCAAGAGAGCCCATTAACAAAGCCACAGATGTGCACAAATCAACTGTGTGTGTCCATTCTTTATTTACACTTCCATGTCTGGCTTTGAAAAGGGCCCTCTTGTTACTCTTGTTCATGGACACCAAAGATGGAGATGTCTTTGCAGAAAGAAAGGTTTATTGGAGGCTTTCCTGTATCAGAATGTAAAGCCTTGTGAGTTCCTCTCTTATTCTCCAGTTTCTTTCTCTGCAGGCAAACTCTTGGCACTGACTAGTCCAATGGGGAAAGTCACTTTTGCAAGCATTGCCAAGATTTCTATTTGATGGCCAAAATATGTAGGCAGACGGATGCATCTGTCCACGTTCTCTATTCCACTCGTTCAAACTTTCTCTCTGGGTCTCTATCAGTCCTCTCTCTCTCTCTCTCTCTCTCTCTCTCTCTCTCTCTCTCTCTCTTATACACACACACATGCACACACACAGGGGGCTGTTTCCTCATCATTCACACTGAGAAATGCCCTGTAAGGACGTCCTTATCCTGCAAACCAGACTCTGCTGGATGCTCTGTAATAACAACTCCAGCCGTCCACCATCCAATCAGCCTGGCTCTCTGCTGTGTATGCATGTGTGTGTGTGTGTGTGTGTGTGTGTGTGTGTGTGTGTGTGTGTGTGTACACGTACATTTGTGTTTGTGTGGGTCTGTGTCTGTGAATATGATTTTTTTCTAAGATCTGAAACCACAAAGCACAGAAAGCATTTATTTTCCTGACAAGACCAAAGACATAAACAACTCTTACAAAATAAAGGGGGAAAATGAAGATATATATTTATTTAGATGTATTTGTGTTGTTATGTTTAGGGCTTATTATTTAGAAAGGCTCAGCATATTATATTTCTCTTATACATAATGATGTTGACATTGGCAGAACTCTGCTGAGAACCATAAATAAAAATAAAATAAATAAATTTATAATAAATAACTGCTAGAAATATAGTGAGCATAAGGACAGAACAGAAGTGGATTATGCTGCAGGAGAAGTTTGAAAAGTTTCCATGGGTCAGCCTGGCTATCCAGTGGAAGTGTTGTCACTCCTAACTGACTACAGCTACTATGCATTGTATCAGTCCTACCTTTCAGTGTATTTAATACTCAAAATGAGGGTTGTGATGGAGTATTCCTGTGTTATATAAAGCAAGATACGTATGTTATAATAATGGAACCAAGAATCATCCTTTGTAAATGTAACACAGATTGTTAGTTTCTATTGTGAATTGGTGTGCAAATATCAATGGGCCCTTTAGGACTATGAAGCAAAATCCTTAATTTTCCTTGTTCATTCTTGTCTGAAATTATGATACTATCTTCAACAAAAGCTCATTTAAAATTATGGATCCAGAGAGTGAAATAGATTTAATTTAAGATATACCAAATGGCTAAATCAGAACAGGGGCAAGTTTAAAAGCCCCACAGACACATGGATTGTATTTGTATTTTCACTTATTTGCCTGATTAGACTTCTTCTCAGGGCTATGTGGGCATGTAAATAATGTGCTTGATGCTTCTACTGTTACTCCTGCTTTGGTGGGAGAAGTTGCACCTTCATCAGTTTTATTAGTTTGGTGAGCTCATGTAATTCCAGCATAGCCCCACTCATCTTCAATGTAGGCATACAGGTCTAATC